TTACCCAAATTTGTAACTCGTACCACATGTACACACTACATACACGCATATATATATGCTCCGCCCACCTGCGCAACGCTCCGCCCCTTTTTGAGTTATAGAAAAGTCGTCATATCTCGACATCCATTTGCTGTCGAGACTTCTAACTCGTACACATGTACACACTATACACGTACTGTCGTATATGCTCCGCCCACCGCGCAAGCTCCGCCCCTTTTTGAGTTATAGAAAAGTCGTCATATCTCGACATCCATTTGCTGTCGAGACTTCTAACTCGTACACTACATCACACATACCGACATATATACGTACAAACTCCGCCCACCACGCAAAACTCCGCCCACTGCGCAAACTCCGCCCCTTTTTGTATTTTTACAGATTTTTGTGTTTTTTCGACATTTCACCAACTTTCAACTAATTGTTTTTTATATCAAAATTCTAGCCCCGCCTACTGCAGCGCAAATCCCGCCCACTTTTATTTTTTTCTATATGGACGCTGTTTTGATGGTCGGTCAGGATACTAAGCCCAAACACAAAGCACACACCTGAAAACGTCCACAAGGCAGTCTTGTCACTAGTCCGCCTCATGCGTTAACCATCACCCAGCCACGGACGATCATTGAGAGGGAAAAGTTTCTTTTCTCTCGGATATCAAAAGGGAATAGGGTTAATATTCCCTAACGCAGACACAGAGATTGTGACTCATTGAGTCACTTGCGCGGTAACGCATTCGAACTTGGTTACGTCGCTCAGAGACCGAGCTAGAGTTCTCTTCTCTAGTTAAGGAACGGACTCCCTGGAATCGGTTCAGCCGTAGATAGGGACGTTGTTTCCGTAAAGCATCGCGGTTTCTGTGATGTCTCGTGTTCTCTGGACGGCCCTTGAAAAACCAAGGAAGGCTATTAATCTGTGCTGCATCGTACCGATATCCGCATCAGGTCTCCAAGGTGAACAGCCTCTAGTCGATAGAATAATGTAGGTAAGGGAAGTCGGCAAATTAGATCCGTAACTTCGGGAAAAGGATTGGCTCCAGTGACTGGGTCGGTTGGCCTGTTAACTGATGCTTGTGCGGTTTCGTCCGTGGCTGGCTGATGCTTACGCTGATGCTGGACTAGTGACAAGACTGCCTTGTGGACGTTTTCAGGTGTGTGCTTTGTCTTCGGGCTTAGTATCCTGACCGACCATCAAAACAGCGTCCATATAGAAAAAAATAAAAGTGGGCGGGATTTGCGCTGCAGTAGGCGGGGCTAGAATTTTGATATAAAAACAATTAGTTGAAAGTTGGTGAATGTCGAAAAAACACAAAAATCTGTAAAAATACAAAAAGGGGCGGAGTTTGCGCAGTGGGCGGAGTTTGCGTAGTGGGCGGAGTTTGTACGTATATATGTCGGTATGTGTGATGTAGTGTACGAGTTAGAAATCTTGACAGCAAACTGGATGTCGAGATATGAGATTTTTATAACTCAAAGGGGCGGAGGGCGGGGTGGGGGGGGGGGGCCCCGTAGTGGCGGAGCCTATAAGAATACGTGTATAGTGTGTACATGTGTACGAGTTAGAAGTCTCGACAGCAACTGGATGTCGAGATATGACGACTTTTCTATAACTCAAAAAGTGGGCGGAGCGTGCGCAGTGGGCGGGGCATATATATGTGCGTGTATGTAGTGTGTACATGTGTACGAGTTACAAGTTTGAAAACCGCCTGAATGCCGAGATATAACCTGTTTTTTATATCTCAAAAAGGGGCGGAGCGTGCGCGATGGGCGGAGCATATACGACAGTACGTGTGTAGTGTGTATATGTGTACGAGTTACAAGTTTGGAAAGCGCCTGGATGTCGAGATATAACCACTTTTTTGTAACTCAAAGGTGGGCGGAGTTTGCGCAGTGGGCGGAGCTTGTATGTTGTGTATATGGTGTGTATGTGTGTATGTATGAATTACAAGCCTCGACATCAAATGGATGTGATTTTCGAAAAAAGGCCACTAACCACGCTCGACGTTGCCTAACTTGCCAGATCGGACGCGCAGGGTACCTTAAACTTGGGTAACTGAATCAGTGACCCAGTACTGCAAAATTCTGCTGAGGTACTAACCACGCTCGGCGTGGCCTCAGCTGCGCCTGCTGCTGCTATACGAAGTTGCCCAAAGCCTTCGACGCAACCGCCACGTCCCTCCTACTCGTTGCGGCCAGGCGATAGACAACGCACAAGCCAGCAACGGCTGGGTATAGGTCTCTCGCTCAAGCGCCATCCATTTTCAGGGCTAGTTGATTCGGCAGGTGAGTTGTTACACACTCCTTAGCGGGTACCGACTTCCATGGCCCACCGTCCTGCTGTCTATATCAACCAACGCCTTTTATGGGGTCTCATGAGCGAGAAGTTAGGCACCTTAACCCAACGTTTGGTTCATCCCACAGCGCCAGTTCTGCTTACCAAAAATGGCCCACTTGGAGCTCGCGTTCGTGTCAACAGTTCAATAAATATTCTTTTTTTGCATTCTCCGCCCATTACGCAAGCTCCGCCCACTCGCCCACGCATTTCGACATTGCCATTTGATAGAGCTCGAAAAGATCTATCAGATGATATCAAGAAATCCGGGGGTAAGGGAGACACTTTATGCTGTTTTTAAGACTTACACTTTCTCCGCCCCAAAATGCAAGCTCCGCCCACCTCACAAACCGATTCCGATACCTCTTCGATACAACAATCAGAGCGCTATCGAATGATATCAAAAAACTGGGGGGTCCAATTGTAAAAATGATGCGATATGCCCGGCATTCTGGAGATAGTTTTCTAGGCGCGCAGCGCCCGCGTCTTGTACGCCGCAGGCGTACAAGACGGGAAGGGGTGGGGAGGGGGTTGGTGGTGGGTTCAGTGGGGCGGCCTTTTGTGACGGCATTATGCTGCTTCAGTTACCTTAAACTTGGGTAATTGAATCAGCAGAAGCTGCCTCAGGCCGTGCGCAAGAACCCGAACCACGTCCGATCTGGCAGCTGAGGCCACGCCGAGCGTGGCCAGTTGTCCGATCTGGCAGCTGAGGCCACGCCGAGCGTGGTTAGTACCTCAGCAGAATTTTGCAGTACTGGGTCACTGATTCAGTTACCCAAGTTTTACGTCCGATCTGGCAAGTTAGGCAACGTCGAGCGTGGTTAGTGGCCCTTTTTTCGAAAATCACATCCATTTGATGTCGTGACTTGTAATTTATACATACACACATACACACCATATACACAACATACAAGCTCCGCCCACCGCGCAAACTCCGCCCACCCCTCCAGTTACAAAAAAGTGGTTATATCTCGACATCCAGGCGCTTTCCAAATCTGTAACTCGTACACATATATCATTACACATACAACACGTACTGTCGTGTATGCTCTGCCCATCGGAACGCTCCCCTTTTGAGATATAAAAAAGTTATATTCTCGGCATAACAGGGGTTATCAAATTGTAACTGGACACATGTACACACTACATACACGCACATATATATGCCCCGCCCACTGCGCACGCTCCGCCCACTTTTGAGTTATAGAAAAGTCGTCATATCTCGACATCCAGTTGCTGTCGAGACTTCTAACTCGTACACATGTACACACTATACACGTAACTGTCGATATGTCGGCCTACGCAACGCTCCGCCCTTTTTGAGTATAGCAGTCGTCATACTGACATCCAGTTGCTGTCAAGATTTCTAACTCGTACACTACATCACACATACCGACATATATACGTACAAACTCCGCCCACTCCGCGCAAACTCCGCCCACTGCGCAAACTCCGCCCCTTTTTGTATTTTTACAGATTTTTGTGTTTTTTCGACATTCACCAACTTTCAACTAATTGTTTTTTATATCAAAATTCTAGCCCCGCCTACTGCAGCGCAAATCCCGCCCACTTTTATTTCTTTCTATATTAGACGCTGTTTTGATGGTCGGTCAGGATACTAAGCCCGAAGACAAAGCACACACCTGAAAACGTCCACAAGGCAGTCTTGTCACTAGTCCAGCATCAGCGTAAGCATCAGCCAGCCACGGACGAAACCGCACAAGCATCAGTTAACAGGCCAACCGACCCAGTCACTGGAGCCAATCCTTTTCCCGAAGTTACGGATCTAATTTGCCGACTTCCCTTACCTACATTATTCTATCGACTAGAGGCTGTTCACCTTGGAGACCTGATGCGGATATCGGTACGATGCAGCACAGATTAATAGCCTTCCTTGGTTTTTCAAGGGCCGTCCAGAGAACACGAGACATCACAGAAACCGCGATGCTTTACGGAAACAACGTCCCTATCTACGGCTGAACCGATTCCAGGGAGTCCGTTCCTTAACTAGAGAAGAGAACTCTAGCTCGGTCTCTGAGCGACGTAACCAAGTTCGAATGCGTTACCGCGCAAATGACTCAATGAGTCACAATCTCTGTGTCTGCGTTAGGGAATATTAACCCTATTCCCTTTTGATATCCGAGAGAAAAGAAACTTTTCCCTCTCAATGATACAAGGCATAAGCCAGTATCTTAGGATCGACTGACCCACATTCAACTACTGTTCACGTGGAACCCTTCTCCACTTCAGTCTTCAAGGATCGAACTTAAATATTTGCTACTACCACCGAGATCTGCACTGACGGAAGCTCCAGCTGGGCTCACGCCCAAAGCCTTCGACGCAACCGCCACGTCCCTCCTACTCGTTGCGGCCAGGCGATAGACAACGCACAAGCCAGCAACGGCTGGGTATAGGTCTCTCGCTCAAGCGCCATCCATTTTCAGGGCTAGTTGATTCGGCAGGTGAGTTGTTACACACTCCTTAGCGGGTACCGACTTCCATGGCCACCGTCCTGCTGTCTATATCAACCAACGCCTTTTATGGGGTCTCATGAGCGAGAAGTTAGGCACCTTAACCCAACGTTTGGTTCATCCCACAGCGCCAGTTCTGCTTACCAAAAATGGCCCACTTGGAGCTCGCGTTCGTGTCAACAGTTCAATAAATATTCTTTTTTTTGCATTCTCCGCCCATTACGCAAGCTCCGCCCACTCGCCCACGCATTTCGACATTGCCATTTGATAGAGCTCGAAAAGATCTATCAGATGATATCAAGAAATCCGGGGGTAAGGGAGACACTTTATGCTGTTTTTAAGACTTACCACTATTCTTCCGCCCAAAATGCAAGCTCCGCCCACTCACAAACCGATTCCGAGTTATACGAACCCCACTTCGATACAACAATCAGAGCGCTATCGAATGATATCAAAAAACTGGGGGGTCCAATTGTAAAAATGACGCGATATGCCCGGCATTCTGGAGATAGTTTTCTAGGCGCGCAGCGCCCGCGTCTTGTACGCCGCAGGCGTACAAGACGGGAAGGTGGGGTGGTGGTGGGTCAGTGGGGCGGCCTTTTGTGACGGCATTATGCTGCTTCAGTTACCTTAAACTTGGGTAATTGAATCAGCAGAAGCTGCCTCAGGCCGTGCGCAAGAACCCGAACCACGTCCGATCTGGCAGCTGAGGCCACGCCGAGCGTGGCCAGTTGTCCGATCTGGCAGCTGGGACCACGCCGAGCGTGGTTAGTACTTCAGCAGAATTTTGCAGTACTGGGTCACTGATTCAGTTACCCAAGTTTAAGGTACCCTGCGCGTCCGATCTGGCAAGTTAGGCAACGTCGAGCGTGGTTAGTGGCCTTTTTTCGAAAATCACATCCATTTGATGTCGAGGACTTGTAATTTATACATACACACATACACACCATATACACAACATACAAGCTCCGCCCACCGCGCAAACTCCGCCCACTTTTGAGTTACAAAAAAGTGGTTATATCTCGACATCCAGGCGCTTTCCAAACTTGTAACTCGTACACATATACACACTACACACGTACTGTCGTATATGCTCCGCCCACCACGCACGCTCCGCCCCTTTTGAGTTATAAAAAAGTGGTTATATCTCGACATCCAGGCGGTTTCCAAACTTGTAACTCGTACACATGTACACACTACACACACACTGTCGTATATGCTCCGCCCACCGCGCACGCTCCGCCCACTTTTGAGTTATAAAAAAGTGGTTATATCTCGACATCCAGGCGCTTTCCAAGACTTGTAACTCGTACACATGTACACACTACACACGTACTGTCGTATATGCTCCGCCCACCACGCACGCTCCGCCCACTTTTGAGTTATAAAAAAGTGGTTATATCTCGACATCCAGTTGCTGTCAAGACTTCTAACTCGTACACTACATCACACATACCGACATATATACGTACAAACTCCGCCCACCACGCAAACTCCGCCCACTGCGCAAACTCCGCCCCTTTTTGTATTTTTACAGATTTTTGTGTTTTTTCGACATTCACCAACTTTCAACTAATTGTTTTTATATCAAAATTCTAGCCCCGCCTACTGCAGCGCAAATCCCGCCCACTTTTATTTTTTTCTATATAGACACTGTTTTGATGGTCGGTCAGGATACTAAGCCCAAACACAAAGCACACACCTGAAAACGTCCACAAGGCAGTCTTGTCACTAGTCCAGCATCAGCGTAAGCATCAGCCAGCCACGGACGAAACCGCACAAGCATCAGTTAACAGGCCAACCGACCCAGTCACTGG